CTGGCCGTGCAGGGTGGACCAGGGTGGTGGCCGAATAACACAAACTGCGTCTGCACCACTGAGCCCTTCTGCAAAGGATGGGGCCGGGCCAGGATGGGTCACAAACCTGGAGGCTGGAGAGAGGGAGCGGGTTCCTTTCTTTATCCCGCTGGCTGCCCTCTCCTGTGGCAAGAGGTCCTAAGGAAGCAGCCGCCCTTCGCTGTCATCTGTCCAGCCCACAGCCCTGACGCGAGGTCTGTCTTGGGCAGATCCTTGCACCCAGGCTTATGCGGAAAGTCCTGCTTGTTTTTTCCTAAAAGCATCCTGTAAGGTGCCCTTCCCACCAAGTGCATGACTGAAGCCTCAAAGCTTCTATCATCTTGTGCATCCACTGCTGCACCTGCCATCGCAAAAATGGTGGTGTACTGTGCTCCCTTTCTCTCCAGCCTCTTTCTCTTTTCTTGGAGAACGATAGCAACTTTCTAGTTGGTAGCTTTTTTTTTTCCCCTCCCAGCACTGTGTTGCTTGGGCATGGAGGGACCAAGCCCCCAGCAGGGCTCGCAGGCACTTTAAGTGCATAAATGATCCTGGTCAGGATATCTCATATCTCTCACTGCCCAAAGGCAGAAAACCTCTTTAATCCCCTACTCTAGACCCATCCCAAACCATTTCCCTACGAGCAAAGTTGCAAGAAGGGGGGGATTGAGGACCAGCAAAGCCCAGCGGCCTCGTCCTACCTGGGGCTTGACATCATCCTCATCCTTGTAGTAGTAAAGTTGCTGTCCCTTAAGCACGAAGTACCGCTGCTGCCAGTTCTTGACGATGGAGCGCTGCTTTTTCAGCCAGCCGATCTTCAGGGGCCGCTCTAGCGGGTTGGGGGAGGCCGGCCGGGCGCCCGCTGGCTCGCTGCTCATCACGCTCTTGGAGCGGGCTGCCAAGGAAAGAGGGGGACGGGCTGGCAGGGGGGCAGGGGCACGAGCTGCCAGTAGACCCGCGTCCCCTGTTTAAGCTACAAGAGCGAGAGCAGCTCTCTGCCCCTCTGCCTGCACTGAGCAAACTGGCTAGAGTTTTTAAAGGAAGTGGCTGCAGTATCTATCAGTGTGTGCTTCCTTTTTCCTGCGTGGGAGTCATTGTCTTGCAAGTGAGAAGAAAATCATTAGCTTTTTTTTTTTTTCTAATGGGAGTGTGTGGGTTTCTTAGACCCACCCCAAACAGCCTGCAGCAGTGATAGCAGAATGACCCCGCCTGGCTTGGGCGGGGTGAAATGTTTGGAAATTGCAGTTTTGCTCTGGGAGAGCGTTGCCTGGTGTTTCCAACGGGCCCATTCTCACACAATGAGGTTGGAAAGTCTCCAAGGGGAGAAAAGTGCCGGTGTGGATTTACCGGCGGTGTCCCCTGTCTCCTGTTTGCATTGCGTAGCCTGGTCCCACTGGTGCCCCTGACCTGTACCCAGGTGGCCCTAAATGCTTCTGTGACAGTAGGGACCTTGGGAGGGATCATCTCCAGAAGGGACACTTTGATTTTTTTTTTTATTTTTTTTTTTTGCTTCTGGACAGGGCACTGCAGGACCCCAGCACGAACCCAGCTGGGTAGAGTTAGCATTTATGGTCTTGGGGCAAAAATAATTCTATGACTCCAGGGGAGTTCAGCTTCACTGGTCTCTGCACATTGTGAGTTCCTGAGGTCTTATGTCTCCCCTGCTGAAACAGAGCTGATGGCACCCAGCTGGGTCCTGCAGGTGAGGGTGGTACAGGATTTGGGCCCCAGAGCCCAGCAGCATTTGCTGGCAGAGGGCATTCAAAGCAAGCCGGGGCCGCGAGGGAGGCGTCGTGCAGTGCCGTGGGATGGGGGAAGCTGCAGCAGCCCCGTATCTCTGCTCCCAGATGCCCACTTTTCCCCTGAGCTGGTCAGCGGAGCAGAGAGCTGTAAAAGCAGCATTAGATATGAGTGTTGGTGAATCCTGGCATGGACCTGAGTGCAAAGGACAAGCTTTAAAAAGGAGAAAACTAAAAATCACCTGCTGCTGCCTTGTGACATTTGGGACCCTGGGGGCATCTCACACCTGAGCAGGCAGCCACAGGGAGCATGAGCTTATGAAACATTTTGCATTCAGTGCCAAGCAGGTAGCAGTTGCTTCAGAGGTCAGGGGTGCTGCAGGTCAAGAGTGTGCCCAGCTTCCCCTTCTGAAATCCCCTGGAGCAAGAAACCCTGCTGCATTTTGCTTTCATCCTTTGGAGCCAGGCTTGGACTCACTTCTCTACTACAAACCTGTTACAGCATTGCAAATCCCTTTCAAAAAGTCAAAAAGGATTGCGAATCCAAAAATCAGCCTTCAAACCCCCATGAGGATGTGGCTTGTACCTCAATACATGCCGATCCGGGATGCCCCTGCAGAGGATGTGGTTGTAAGCATGGACCTTTGAAAGGGATTTGCCAGCCAACTCCCCTGAAAAATGCTGGTGCTGGGGATTGCCCTGATGCAAAAACCAAAACGGAGTTTCCAAATTGCACCTCAAGCTCCGGGCAGCTTCTTTGCTCTTTGCCAAAACATCTGCATTACTCAAATCTCATAAATATTAATATGATACTCAGCAAACTGCTCACGAGCAGCATCACTCCTCTCCCTAAATCAGGTTCCTTCATGTCTTGTGGCTGCCGCCGACTCCTCAGGGGCAAGAATTTTTGGGGAATGATCTGCAGGGGTGGAGCAGCCACCAGGAGCATAGAGGCTACTGGGTGCAGGGCGCTGCCTTGCTTCCCATGAACACTTTGCTCGGCAGAAACCACAGCCCATTGCCAAAGAGAAAAACCCAAGTGGGCTGGCTCCAAACTAGCCCCGTTCTGCAGAAAGCAGCCCTCCCATGAGCCAGCACTCTGATGCCTTCCTGAATTTTGCTGTGTGTTCTCCCATCCGATCGTAGAACCTCATCTCCCCCTCAATGAAACGGAGATGCTGATATTCACTCTGTTTAATTAGCGCTAAATTTGCAGAGTGATGTCTCTGTACCAAGCACTGATGATCGCAAGGGCTTACTCTGGAATGAAGCTGTTGCAATGCAGCTCGCAGGGCCCGTGCTTACACCCAAATGGGTGGAAAACAGGGATGCGTCTCCATCCATCAGCTCCATGTTCAGCCTTCCCCAAAGAGCCCAGCTCAGCCCAGCACCACTGATATTCCAGCAGCACAAGCCTTGGAAGGAGAAACCGTGTCTTTTATGAAAAATGCGGTGGTTTACTACCTCTTATCGGAGATACTAATCTCCCTCTTAGCCCGTCAGGGCTGTGTCGGGACTCTGCACCGTGGAAACGAATCAACCCGGCAGGCGCTGCTACCCCGGGGGTTCCTTCTGTATTCAGCCCTGAGCTTAAATTGCCCGGTCCTTGCTGGAAATAAGGTTTATTCTCTCCCTCTTTGCAGCCTTTCCCAGGTGCATAAGGAATGTGCGTTCAGAGGGGTACACCTGGGCCCCTTTCTTTAGCATCAGCCCTTCTGAAACGCCAGGCTCAAGATGCAGCCCGAGGTCCGCGCTTGCCCATGGCTCAGCCGTGTGCACTCACGTACATACGCACCAGCGTGGACATGCGGGTGTATTTTCCCTCTCCATGAGACAGCTCTCCCTGTACTTTGGGCTCATTTAAGGCCAAAATAACAGTTTGCAGGAGCCTTCTTACCCACGGTGTGAGCACTCACCAACCACCATCCCCACCACAGGGCTCGTGCAGAGGCGTGGGGAGGGAGCTGCTGTGGGGAGCTTGGCTTTGTAGACCAAGAGGCTATTTTTGCCCAGTGGAAAGTTTTCTGCATTGACAAAACCAGAACTACTGAGGCTGTGGCTCCCTACCTTACCACTTTTCCAAGTTTCTGCCTTTTGTGGCCAGAGCGATGTCCTGCTCATGTGAGAGGGCCAGCTGAGAATTTTACGTGGGGCTGGGACAAAGCTTTTCCCCTGGCTCTCACCAGGCTGGTCCAGCACTTGCAACCATCTCCTCCTTCACCAACACATCCCTGCCACACTTGGCCCTGCTCCTCCTTGCCACTCTCACAGGGCAGGAAAGAGCCACTGAGAGCAAATGCGGTGCCCCCCGAAGCATTTCCTGCGGTAACCGCCTCTGAAGTTGAATATTTCCTCCAAAACATCCTCACTCTTCCTCCAGCCCTGGGGACCAGCCGTAGCAGGGTGTCCACGTCCCACTGCCTGCTCCCCGAAAAGAGGAGCCCTGCCAAAGAGTGCCTTGCAGGAGAAATTGCATTGGGTGCCACCGTGGTGTCCACATTGATGCTGGCTCCTGCCCCAAATCCTTGTCTTGAGCAAGTGCCCTCCCTGCCATCCCCTTTGCTCCTGCCCTGCAGGAGGGATGCTGGGTACTTGCAATAAAAAACAGTAAAAGCAAAAGTGCCACGGTAGGTTTTGCAATGAAATTTGCAAATGCAATTTTCTCCTTCGCTGAAATAAATAGCTTTGCATTTTTCTCAGCGTGAGGAAGCACCCGGGAGCCAGCACGCTGTCCTGGGGCTTACGAAGGCTGCTTGTGCCACGGCGATGGCTGGGGACGAGGAGGGGGAAATGTCCGAAAGCCAGGAGGAGCCAGCGAGGTGACTAATTTGCAGATATTTTCCACAGGCAAGTCACATCCCTGCTGCACCCCTGCAGAAGGCAG